ACCCAAGCTCCAAAGCGCACACGGCCACACATCTGGCAGCAGCGCCCACTGCACCTGGGGAAATATCCCAACAACTAGTGACACTGACCCATAGCTGACTCTGGGGTTCTTCCTGGCCCGTCTTTCTTGTGAAAAAGGACGTGCCCAGATGAGTAGATCCAGAGTTTTCAGACTGGCAATCCAGGACTGGCTGCTTTTCATTCGTTTGCCTGACATTTCCAGAGCCAAAAAATATGTACCCTTCCAGGGATTCAAACCAAAGATTTTTGAACATAGACTCTCTGGACTCATCGGTGTACTCATCAGTCCCCTCGCAACTCTCCCATCTGTACACAATGATCGTCTGATGCTGTTCCACCAAACCCCACGCCGAGAACCGCCGCGCCCGCGATCGCCTGAGCAGCAGAGAGGATCCGCTCAGCATGTCGTTCGAGGTCTCGGTGCAGCATGTTTTTCCCACGAAAACCCCGTCGCGTGGAACGCGTCGTTGTCTTCACGTGCTTTCAGAAAACCATACAAAGAATATCATGTTGTTTTTCTATGTATCTACTGCAAAGATCTGCAGACTATATACTTCACTATCGAAAGCGATTTAGGGTGCAGTCCCTCAACCGAAGGGAGCTGCTTGGTTTTGCTCCCAAACATCTCCAAGAGATACGTACTGCCCCGGTAGGCGCGGCGCGATGCTGAATGATTCGATGACCTCCAGGTCTTGCCAAGGTCTGGATCTGCTACCGTAGGAAAAGCCGAGTGCGCTATGCTTACGGACCCAAAGCCGCAAACCTGACACTGCGTCCAATGGACCCTTTGGCACACGCCACGCAGTGGCAGCCACAGCGGCCCGCCCGTCTGCCATGCACCCAGACGGGCCACCCTGAAGAGTAGGTGGAAGAGTGTGGAGTAGGGCGATGCAAATAGGATCAATTCATAGACAAATGCATAGTGACAAATAGAAAAGGCACATGGCATTGTCATCGCAAAGATTCACAAAGACCCGAAAAGGTCGCCCATGTGTTTTGGACGTTGAGTTTGTCCTACCGTCCATCTGCAGCGATACAGAGTCGAGGGACACCGCTTTGCGTGATGGGGAATGTGTTCACACAATGTGGAAGCCTCTTGCTGGAGAGAAAAACAATCTTTCGGACATATCCCATCCCCTGATACCTGATATATACCCTGACACCAAGTGTCTGAACCAAAGTCCATCATCGGCGCGAGCACCGCGCAAAGCACCTGCATGGAGTCTGGTGCTTGACGCTATGAGGTTGCAAACATTGCGAAACAACGGAAAATTGATGAAAATGGAGTAGGGCTCGCACATCCACACAGCGCTGCAAGATCTTCTTCATGGATTCACAGTCCCGAGCCATCCGGTGTTTATTCTTTTGATGTTGTACAGTCGTACAGTCATCACAATGTATTGTTTACATTTTGTTTACTGTGTTGGTAGGACTGCAATTTGATCCTTTCATCTCTTTCGCAGAAAGCCCACTAGCCCAGGTCTACTCTCCCTGGAATGCTTGCTCACAAAGCCCACAAAGCCCATTGGTCTCCAATGGATGCTGCGGACGCACCTTGCCGCCCAACATCCAGATTCGCCCCACACGCTGCGACCTGGGTGGCGCAGCAGTAGGCGCAGCAAGCCGCCCGTGCAGCTGCCACGAAGAAGGGGATCCAAGGTGAACACAGCTTTCTGGATGATCATACCTTGCAAAGTCCCAAAGAATGGATCATCAGGCATTCTCGGACCTTAGCTTTGTCCTCTCCCCCATCCTCTTCTCCTGCGCCGGCGCGTTCCGAAGCTGCCACGCGACTGTTGCTGCTCCTGTAGAAGTGCCAGGCCATCCTGACCAGCTCGACCGAGCCGCTCGGCCGTCCGGACCCATCCGGAGCCGAGCTCGGCACAAATCAACTCCAGAAGTGGATTTGATGGGCAAGTCAATTGGTATAAAACAAAAGGTAAAGGTGATCCAATCAACCATGGATTGACAGTTCGAACAGTTCGAACAAAAACACCACTGGAAGGGCACGAGGTGTCGATGATTATGACAAGTAGGTGTCCAAATCGAAGCAGAACAGTTTGATCATAGAGAGCAAGGCGGGCACCAGCAGGGTCCATTTTTCTAACCAGATGCGCTCTTTCGTCCTTCGCGAAGCAGAACAGAGAAATCCTCCAACCCTGCCTCACCGAAGACCAAGTTCGAGGATTCGAGTTCCTCTGTGGAGGAAAAGCTGAGAATTCCCTGTCCAAAGCCACCTGGCATAGATTAAGTTGAAGAAAACAGCTGGCCAGCTTGGGTTCAGATTGTGAACGGGATGTGTCGTGTCATGTCATGTCAAGAATGTGATTCTCTACGGATGATGAGAGTGAGAACATGCGACCATATTATGAGACCAGGATCCACAGCATGAGTCAACAGAAAGGCTCCGTTGAAAGGAGGAGTGCTTCTTGATCAGCATCCAATGACTTGACAGAGGAGTGTTGTCTCTCTTGCCAAAGCGCCGGATTGTTCAAAAGACAAATTATCCCAGCATACAAGCAAAGCACCTATGATCACATCTGCAGCCACATGTAGCACCCGGCTGGCCTGCATTTGGTTTCAGCAACAGCGGGTATTGCCTGGGCTGCCAGTCAATCTGGCTTGGACGCCGAACGGTGGATCTACCCATGCCAAGCAGGCGTCCAGTTCTCCGCCGCACCAGGTGGGGGAATGCGCAAAGCGGGCACGATCTTTGGGCATCTCTTGGCCCACTTTGAGCGATCCACGTGAATCCGTGTCTAAGCCAAGTACCTACCGTTTTCTACAATAAATCAAGGATCCCAATGAGCAACATAGACGGTCGATATCAAGCTCCCCGTTCACGTTGTCGAAATTCGCCCAGGATAAAATCCCAGAGAATTCCTGTTAGGGATTCATCTATCTACGCCGGCCCAAGCAGCTTCACTTGCTGCCAGTATCAGTCAGCACTTTTGAGCAAGCAGGGAATCGCCAGGGAAGGAACCTTGCTATGTGTCCCTAGAACCCTGACCGGCTGATGACCCAAGAAAAAAGGTGAATCTGAACCATCTTCACCCGCCATAGAGCTATTGTCGCCAAACCATAAAACCCCAGTCGTGTCTCTATGGTGTCTGGGCATGTTCCAGGGCCAGGGGAAAAAATACGGCTACCGCAGGGGCCTGCGGAAAGGCTCCAGAAAGCTCTTTTGCCATCGTCGCATGTCGCATATACATATTTGACGAGACCAGCCGATGTATTCTACATCGCCTTGGGCCTTCAAAAACCTCCTATGCAACGTAGCTGAAGGTCAGAAACCCTCCAAGCCTGGAAAAGCACCACCGAAGCTCACCGAAGATATCCAATTCATCGGCTTCCCACGGGAGAGCTTCGATGAGATAACAAACCAAAAATGTTCCACGGCAGGGAACAAACCTTGAGAAGGAGATAGACTTGGAACTCCAGGCCGTTGGCCAGGTGCCGGACATACGCAGAAAGAAATATGCTTTATATAATTATCAACAACATGAAACAAAAAAATGCATAAAGGATATAAAAGGACACACAAGTAACGCTTGAAAAGTCCATCAGGATCAGTGATTCATGCCTACACACCCACTAAATCGAGTTCCAGTTATAAATTGGCAAACAAACGATCTAGCACCACCCAAGTTGATGCTAAACGAAACGAGCCTAGCTGGTTCTCCGCCAAACCAAGAAACAAATGAAAAGAATGAAAATATATGAATGACAATAAATTCAAAAATACTTCGCCATGAGAAGAACATAGAAGAACTGAATGCCTGGCGAACATCCAGCCCAGCAACCAGGGCAGGCATCCTTCGGTCTTCAAGAACCGACACCGTCTTCGCCTTCGCCCCACCAGCGAGCGCTCCACCGAGACCACCGACCGAGACGCTTTCGATGACCGGTGCGTGGGTCATCGCTGAGGTCAGGACGCTCGGTGCGTCGAGGGAGGCGCCCCATGCTAGACATACAAATGCAAGTCTGCACCATGCTCAGCGCAGCTGCGCTACGCGCAGATGGAACTCCGAGGTGGTTCCCAGACGCCAAATCCCGATTTGTGTCGATATATGCATGCAGGCTTCCTGCTTCCACCTAATTCTGAAGAGACCTCAACGTTACAAATCGAAACTGCCACCTTTTCCGATTCTACTTGTACGAATATAAGGTATTTGGCTTCTCAAAGGGGAATGTAGTCATGTGATCCAAGCTCTTCACAACCATCTTTGATGATCTTTGATGATCTTTGGTACAACCATGTTCAACAAGATCTTTGATGATCTTTTTGCTGATGGCCACGATCCACCACTTAAAACCCAAACCCACGGCCATTACCTCAATGGAAAAGAAAGGATTCTCGTAGATTTGCATCTTTCCTAGGTGATTCAGACTCTTGTCAATCCAATACACCGTGCGTCTACATACTCGTGGACTACTTCTCTCCTTTCACAATTGCACTACGTGAAAGTAGCATTCTGGGGACCGCCATTGGCATCTCGTCACAGTGCCGACAAACGTCGCCTTGGAAGGCCAAGCCATTCAAACTGCTGGCACCAAATGTCGGGCCCAACAGACAGCAATTCCACAATGCTCGGCATGGTAGCGTGAATCCCTGCCTTGACGATTTAGCAAGGCCTTGCACAAAAGACTATCACCATCACAATCTTAAGCCTTTCCTTCGAGTTACATCGAAAATTGTTGAAAACCTTGATATATGTTGACAGCTATGGCTTACCAACCCCAAAGAATAACCAGTCGTGCCAAAATCGGGGCATAACGGCATAACTACACTACTGGGAAACCAAGGAACCAGAAACAAAAGGAGGTTTCCCCAAACAGCAATTTCCTATGTGAAGGATTTCAATTCGAACACCCTGTTGTTTCTGGATGTTTGGGTTTCCAGGTCGAAATGTTGGTGGCTGGTGTGTGGTTCCAAGAAATTCATCGAACTTCTCTCTTCGAGCAACGTGGACTCGGCAGCACCGAGTTGTTCCTGGACCCGATTCATTGGTTGAAACATCCTCTCCATGGCAAAGCGTTGATCACCTGCTCGACTAAGGCCCTAGGCACGTATTCATGCAATCCTGACACTATGAATTCCCTGGAGCAACGTCCATAGCATCTCGTTAGAACGCACCTGGGCGACCAGACTGGTAGACTCTTCAAGACTGAGAAACGGTGTGCCTTGAAACGATGGTTAGCCATGTTTACAATCCAAGTGGATCCAAATGGCATTTGTTTGTTCATCAACAGTCTATATAATGGTGTCCCCTTTAATGACTCAACAAAAGTACTGGCTAGATTAGGAAACTGTTTTTTTGTGAGGTTTCATTCGCCCCTTACGAAAAACGCTTCGAAACGCACCGGGCTCACACCCAATCACAGCTTCCAGCACCGGGCTCGACGGACGGAGAGGGCCCTGCCTGGACGAGAGGATCTGATTCCACCCCTGCAAAGAAGAGCTCGAAGCCTCGAGGAGGTGGAACTCTCTCCGTAATGTGGGAACCCTGTGGGGACATGTAGTACTTGGCATACTTCTGGAAGGCCTGAGGCAGAGCTTGGCCAGCTGCGATTGGAAACGGCTCCGTAGGATGAACTCACAGTTCATTGTGGACCATGAGGGTACTTGAAAGGACTCCCCTCCCATCATTACTTTCATGTCGGGAGATCTCAAAAGATCTCATACCGGCTCAATTCAAAGGGTAAGGGATCAAAAAAATACTAAAATTGTAATCAAAAATACAATATATATATTCAACGGGGACCAAAATAAAAAGGAAAGGGGAATAAAAAAAATCTATTCCAGCCCACTGGGGATGGTTAGGGTTGAGCATCG